CTTACTGTGACCGCAGTGGGTTCCACTCAGAATGACTCTTACTGTGACTGCAGTGGGTTCCACTCAGAATGACTTTTACTGTGACTGCAGTGGGTCCCACCTGTAATGACTCTTACTGTGACTGCAGTGCTTTCCACCCGTAATGACTTTTACTATGACTGCAGTGGGTCCCACCCGTAATGACTTTTACTGTGACTGCAGTGGGTCCCACCCGTAATGACTTTTACTGTGACTGCAGTGCTTTCCACCCGTAATGACTTTTACTGTGACTGCAGTGGGTTCCACCCGTAATGACTTTTACTGTGACTGCAGTGGGTCCCACCCGTAATGACTCTTACTGTGACTGCAGTGCTTTCCACCCGTAATGACTCTTACTGTGACTGCAGTGCTTTCCACCCGTAATGACTTTTACTGTGACTACAGTGGGTTCCACTCGTAATGACTCTTACTGTGACTGCAGTGCTTTCCACCCGGAATGACTCTTACTGTGACTGCGGTGGGTTCGACTGCACAGGGTAGTACCAGCGTATGTCTGTCAGCTTTCACTCCCATACGTTCTTTCTGCATAGGAAGTTAATTCCATGTTTCCTGTATCAGTCTCTTGAACCGAAGTCATCTGGCCTTCGGGGCATGGATTATCCTGCCCCAATCGGTGAAGTAGAGAGAGAAATGTAATACTATTGAGTGTTCGGTGTTGAAATCCAGTTGGATAGAACTGGTACTGTCTTCTTTTCTATTTATATTGTTATAATCATGATATTGTCGAGTTTGTAAATAAATGTTTAAAATTCATAATTTTCCCCCACCCCCAAGAAACGATTATCAATCATTCCATCTCAAACATAAAACAAAAATAAATGCACTGTGCATATGTGAGCAAATCCGTATGTATTAACAATTGTTTATGCTTGTTTACGTACAGCTTGGTATTTCCTAAGACGCTTGAGAAATTTGATTTGATGTTGCCTTGTTGGCGTCTCCCTGAAATATCTATGATGCACACCACACATAATCACATTAAAATTCCAATTCAGTCTAATGGCATTTTCAGATTTGCTCTCAGACGGTCATCGGCAATGCCAAAGATCTGGACCATATATGCTTTGTAATAATACCCATCATATTTATTCTGACTCGAGGCCAAATCAGTTTGTCTTTCAATCCTTTGCCAAAACACTAATGAGAATGGAACGATATTTTGTTTATATCATTTAGTTGGAGACAGTGAAGATTTACTACGAAGTAAAGTCTCCTTTACCTGACTGCTCCCTCCAGCGCTAGCGCATATTATAAAAAAATTAGACGATAGAAAGAGACAGATGCTGTTGGTTGCCTCGGGGGTAAGAAGGAATTAAGATAATGAAACACATGTTACTTCTAATCCTTGTAGATTAAAGAAGACTGGATAAAATGTATATAATTTAATAGATGGACCAATCTAAGGCACCTTCTCTATCATAGAAATAACTTCACATGGGATGATTGTACTTTGAAGTACCAAAAGATTCTTTCTTTTTTTTTCTGCCTCTCTGTCTTATCTATCGCTTGTACCAAATTTGACCTAAATACTTCATTTTGGTTTTCTAGACTTTTGTACACATCTTCCAGTTTTCTCTCTTCTGTTATTAAATTAAATTAATGCACACAATTTCTGGAATTTTAAATTTTGTTAGATAGCATTAATGCAGAACATTTCTCACTTTTCACAAAATAAAACCCACATAATATTTTTCCAAAGAAGTTGTAGATTAATATAAGAAAACAATTGCTAAATTTTTCAGAGAAGCATGCTATTGGTCAACCCTTCAGACGCTGCATTTTTTCCAAAATTTTGATATCATTTTTTTTTCATACATTTGATATGTATTTTTCGATCATTTCTGTGTTAATTTTAGATCAGATCTTACTGTATTAGTGATATGCCTTGATCAACAATTTTTGAAACAAAAAAATGTTTCAGGTTTATTTCATGCAAAATTACAAAAGTTGTCTTTGGCACTCAGAGAGTTTTGATACATCCCATACGCAGATCATCGACTCATAAGTTGAAATAACAATTACATATTTTAATAATTTTAATAGAACATTGGCCCCACATAGACAGCAGTATGATAGCCTTTTTTTTTTTTTTTATAAGTAGCCAAATCATAGTCATCAGAGTGTTGCGTCTCACGTGGTTGGATTTTGAAATGTTGTGTTTTATTTAATGTTGGCTTTTTGTATACTTCTCACTAATATCCTATGTAGCATGGTAAAAAAAACAAAAAAACATAACTAGGTTTCTAAGAACAATTCCCACCTTTCTGGTACTTCATTTTATATTTAATATATATGTTGTACAATGTTGATGGTTACCCTTTCCACTGTTTGATGCCCCAGATGCTTGGTGCGTGACAGCTTGATGTATCGTTAATAAAGGCATACACCAATTTACTGTATTGAAATGCCACGGAACATAACTCCGTGTCCCAAGACAAAAGGAAATGGACGTGCTGCTAGAGCTATAGATGTATGTTTCATTAGCGACAGTGTGTATATGCACTCATACGTGTTTGCTTGCATATTCAGAGTTAATGTGGTGTGTGCCTCTATCTTGGTGTCTCTTGCCATCCTGTCCTGTGTCATATGTGTGACATTATAAGCACTGTATTCATGTAGGTTTTAGAGATCCGTGTTTCGTGTTCTGCGGATGACGTATGCAGTGCCGTCCGTAAATGGGAACAGTAAAGTGAATTTGTTGTGGGATCGAGGCAGACAATGATTTCAAATTAAATATTTGTGAAGCTCTCGAAAGTTATGATAGTGCAGGATTAAACGTTTTTGAAGCAAACACACGCCTCGTTTTCCAGTTCTGAGTGACGTGTCACTTGTCTCTCAAGTTGTGTTGCTGTGAAATGTAAACTTTGAGATCACTGTGTTATGAATGTGTGCCAGGCATTCAATCAATACATAACTTCTGAATCTTGTATTGATGTTGTAATTTATTTTGTTTGGACGTATGAGAGTATTTCTTCAATGAAATTATGTTTATTCCTGAATGCCTGAATTGATTGTTGTATTCTGATTGAAAACGAGCTGTGATGAAACCTGTCTTGTTTAATTTAATGGGGACAGTTCACTGTAACTGTTTTTTGACAGTACTGCAATCACTTGCCGCGATTGGTATTCCTGTCATAACCCCGTGGTAGCATTTTCCATTCATATTATGAGGATCAGCTGTAATTATTTATAGAATTTGTTTATACAGATAAAGAAATCTCCCTATCAAATGGCAGTATATATTTGAAACAATATTATTGAGTCCCGCAGTTGTCTTCCTCTTCTTCACAGCAGGCTGTTACAGAAATTATTGATCTATAGTCTGGTGACCTCGTGTCATTTTCGGGATTTATTCTACTCCCACAAATGTCATTGAACAACTCGTGTAAATATACTTTTAGGTAAATGATTCAGTTCGAGCAGTAGCGGAAGGTTAATGCTACCTTGATCTGCCTAATAATTACTAATCATCATCCTCCGTATCTTTCTCTCACTTCCTGTGCCATTTGAAATGCACATATGAATTGTTATAATAGCAGAAGGGATATTAATACTCCCGTGGCCATTCGCAAAAATCTACGAGGGTGAATTTATTGTCATGGGCAATACTCTTGCTACAACTAATGACTTGTGGTTCCGTTGCGACTTGTATGGCAATTTCCATCCTCTTGCCGTTGTGGATTTTTCTCCTTCGTTTGTGTTCATTGAAGTGTTCAAATTGAATGAGCGCATAGTACATTCATGTCTGCCCCATTACTTTGCAAGGTGGCAATTCCTTAAATGGGTAATTACGCTCTCTCTCTCAATCTCTCGTCTCTTCAAATTTCAGGTGTCAATTTCTTGCACACCACCATTATAAGAATTCTCCTGTCGTAAGCCACCTTCCATAATTTCCTCCCCAACGTAGTCATCGAATTTAGGCTTATATTAAATATATAGTCTCGTGCTTTATGTGGTTCTGTCAGTATCTCAGTGTTAATTCTCTCAATTGATGGAGATGCACTAATTCCTGTAGTCCCATCAGTAAATAACTCTAAAAACAATTTTTTTTTGTTTTTTTTCACTGTTGTCACATGGTGACGAAACAAACCCATTGTTGCAATCACAAGTAATCCATGCATTATTTAATACCGTGTTCATTACATCTTGATAACTAGCTGTCTTTGTTGTGTACAGTCTATTCAATCGTACAATGCATGTACTGGGATTGTTGAGAGGCTTTTGTTTGCACATGGACAATTGTCGAATCTGCTTTTCAACAAAGAAACTCACTGGAATGATACCCACATCTGTGTTAATTCAGGGAAATTTGTTGTCACTTCCACGACATATTTCATAAAAAATTTTCATTGCCAAATGTGTCGAATGGGCATGGGCCATTGTAAAAATCAGTTAATGAGTTGTAGACAGAGATGACATGTCTCCACAAAATAACCTGGTGTATTGATTTTCGACGCTAGCAATTTCCGTAATTTAATAAATTTGAGAACATTTGCGAGGAGTAATTTTCACAAAAGGTGTCTTCCTGTTTAAAAAAATCATAGTGACATGTTCACAGACTGCCGAAATTTGTGAAAAATTTTTTTTCATGGAATTAAAAAACAATTTTTTTTTTATTATCTCTTAGTTATTATCACAAATTTAGTTTCATCTCATAGTTTCATTGTGATCATTAGTTACAAAGGGTAGGTGATATATTCTATGAAAATAAATTTGTAGCCAGAAGCCCAGTCCAAGCTGTTAAAACCAAAACTACACTCACCCATCCAATCAACACAAACTAATATATTTAGGTTACTGACATCTTCTCTTCCTCCTCCAGGACCCTACCCTTTTTTTAGAATGTACGTAAATTCTTCTGTCAAGGTGGTTTGTATGTGCGTGCGTTCATTTTTCATGCAAATTGAATTGTAACAGTTGTTATTATGTATATAAAGATTAATCTTAACACGCTTTACCAGTTATGAGGAAAGAGCCAAATATCTTGAAGGAATAGTAAAGAACCACAAAGAACACACAACGTTTGAAGAGTTTGCATCGCACGTGTATGCCCCGGCGCATGACAGAACACCACGTGTTGCCTCAGGTATTCAATCATAAGACATGATTTCTATGAATCTATGTGCAATTGTTGTGGGAGTACCAATGTTTCATTCCTAATGAACCAGTCAGGCTAAGGAGACCTCAGATGTTCACACACAACCAATTTGATTTTGCCCAATTTCATTTTTGGGTCGCATTTCCATTACTGTTAATTGAATGTTATTTAATATTTCAATCTCGGGATGATTTATTTGTCAAAACACGTCATAATATAACATAATAATTTATTAAATAAATATAAAATTTAAATAAATGATAACGATTCATTCATAGTGCCTGGAGAATAAACATAAATTGTACACATGATTTCACTACCTGTTCTACTTTCTGTACACACCACCCCCTTCTCTTCTTCAAGAGATAAAATACCTTTAATCGCTTGATCGAATTTGTATATTTAACCGATCAAATCTTTACGCTTGACAATATCACATGTGGATCATTAATTTCCGGCATCAATTCGTGGAAACTCACACATGTGTAGTATATTATCAGACTCGAAACGGAAAACATTTTGTGTGTAATTTGCTCATCTTGTCAAAGTGATGAACATTTATTAGCAATAGAAATATCGAAAGGAGTCTTTTGATATTCATGGAGAGATTCTAATCATAACAACGATTATTTGAGCCGATAAAAGTGAATTGTTAATTTCCTATTGATGACTTGCAGTGCTCACTTTCGGTATTAATATCTACTCCACCGGTACGTATTGTAAAAATATTACAGTAGCATGAAATCTTTTGTCAAATTGCTAATTTTAATAGTTAATGGTAAGGTTTTTTTTTGAGTGATTAATCTTTCTAATATATGAGAATGATATGTAATTCTGCTAATATAGATGTCGAGCTGTGTTTGGGGAATCCTTGTTCATTCATGTGACAAGTGGAATCAGGTTTTCACTATGTTTACGTGTAATCTAACATAGGAAATACACAGTGTTGTTTACTTATTAGTGTACACTGAGTATGAAACATTGCTTTTAGTTGCAACCAGGAATACAAATTTGGCCACTATGCCAAGTAAAAAATTATTACTCATGGATAGCAGCTGTTTTGATTTATTTGTTCAATTTTGAAAATCCATCATGATGGTAGCTATACATGTTCATGATAAAATTGCACATATGCCGCCGAGAGTCAGTAATTGACTTTTCTCAGTAAGTAAAAACAAAAACATGTTGTAGTAACAAAAAAAAACACCAGAAATAACAAAAGCTTACAGCCATTGGGCTCTCTTTTTATCAATGCAAAACAGTGGGTGGCTGACTGAATGACTTATTTTTTTTTTACTTTTTTTGTCTTTCACCAGCCAAATCTCACTTGAGTGAAGTCTCCTCGGTTACAAGTCTTTCTAGCATTTCAACAACTGGTACGTTTGAACACACAGGCTCTGTATCCAGCATTCGGTCAACAACCAGCAGTCAGCAGACTGTGGCGTCATCACACAGTAGAATTATCAAAGGTTGGTGCCTTCAACGCTAAAATCTCACCTGTTGTCGGTTTTCATAAGTGTTAAGTACTCTATGTCCTTTCTAAAAAAAACAACAAACAAAAAAAATTGAGTACCAACTGAGTGGTACTAAAAATGTAAAATACATCTGTACTACATTACATATGTCAATACTATGTTGACTCAGTTAAGTCACTGCAAACATTTTTCAGTTTTGATACTCACTGTCTGATATTGAAATAGAAATTCTTAGGTTGGTGCCGTGGAATAGTTCAATTTATCAACTACTAATTTTTTTTTTTTTGCTTTATTCATCAGATGATAGAAGTTCCACTGATTCCCACATTGTGGCCGTCTCTGTGGATGACCCTCACCATGTGACATTCACTAAACCGAGTAGCAAACAAAAACTGACAACGAAAGGTCGACAGCAGTCTAGTACCTCAGTAAAAGACAGTACACCCCCTGACAGTCCTGCTGTGAGTCTGAAAGGGAAAAGGACATCATAAACTGATCACCGTTTCAATCAAGTTTTCTCAGTGCACGCTATGATATTGCTACATGCAACGTGATCGTTGATGAATGCAGAAACTGCCTCCTTTTGTGTCAGTTGTAGCAGCTATAGAGTTCCTTCTAAAGAAACGTGATTTAATTACATAGAAATCAGCACTTGAACGATGAAAAGCTATCAGAATAGCCATATTAAATAAAGTTAAAGACCTTGTCAATTGACAGATGAGAAAACAAAGCATTGCATTTAACCTTTAATGTGCAGGTGAACATGCCAGGAAATTACTCTACTGGTCTTCAGAACCATGCTCACTTTGTGGTGGAATTTACTAGCGTTTCCCGACTTGTAAATTGAATTAAATTAACTTCTATTCATGTTTTCCCAAAAAAAAATGAAATGCTGTGAAAGTGCAGGGTATTGTAAGTGGTTTTTCTTTTTTTGCTTGTGTGCCAAATGAGACATTTCATTAATGAAAATATGTAGTGTATTACTACTCGGATGCCGTTACTTCCTTTTTTTTTACCTTGACTCTTGTGACGTCAACCCACAACTGACTTGACTGCTCTGTCTTGATGCAACTCAGCATTAAAAAGCGCAACTGGGAAGTAAAACTGAGGGTTCGGCTACAAGATCTCAAGCTGGGCTCGTATTGTTAAATGTATGTTGGCAAGTGGATTATTTAACACGTCATATCATAAACAAGGTTTTTTTTTCTTTTTTAGAAATAGTGGAATTGTCTTCAGATTTTGTTTTTCATCCTGTTGTATATATTTGCAACTTTAGGTTGTAATTGATTGACAAACTGTTGAAATTGATTTCTATAATCCATTGATGTGGCGTTAGTTTGAAACATGATGTTACTATCAATGAGGGCAGTTGTAGTACTGTAGCCAAATTAGCATCTATTTTGCATAGTATGAACCAAAATATCTGAATTGTACAAATAATATATTGCAGATTTTGTAGATGAATGAATGTAGTAAAATGTTGCATTTCTCAACAATATTCAACAATATCATTCAGCATGTATATACTCTGTGCAAACCAGTTGAATCCAGTAGAGAAAATGCAAATGAGGCAAATTAAACTTCTTCTCTGAAACTACATTACGTTACATTTACTGAAATAACATGGCAGGTTAGGTAAATCATTCTGGACAAAATTTGAATTTCTGTTGACTAAGAAATTTGAATACTAGTGTGCATCTCTGTAAGTTTGTTACCTAAACTACTTTATCAAAACCAGAAACAATTTAAAAAAAAAACGCTGTGCTTGTTCTTGCATTCTTAGAGGGTAGCGACATATACAGCAGTCAATTGAAAAATATTTTAGTTCAGAAAACTCAGCAGTTGTTGTAATACTTTATTGGCTCTCTTGCTTCAGAGTCTACTTCATGATTTTATTTCACAAGAATTGTCTATATTCTATATATTAAATATATATATATGTGTGCGTGTATATATCATCACAACGACGAAAATAAAAGGTTCTTAAATTCATTAAATTTTAAAAATGAAGAAAAGTTGTAAAGAAATTATTAAAATTGTTTGTGAAAACAAGTTCAACTGTGTTTACTGGCAAGTCTATTTTTTTACTAAAATGCCTGTGCTGTGTCTCTCGCTTTATTTGGTAACCATGACAATATTCCTTGTGCATTACCTGTACTGTGTAAGTGATTGGTACGTCAAGGACAATATGACCTTCCCATGCTCTGATTCTGTATACACAATGGCTACTTTTTGTCTATATCTTGCCCCCTCTCCCCATCCCATCTACAATCCTCCCCTCCCCAAGGATCCTCTCCACTGCTGTTTCTGTCTCACTTAATGTCACTGTATTCCTTTGGTGACTTCTGATCTCAACTTGTTGACATCTATATCCAAATATCCCAGTTGAGGATTTTGTCATTACATCAATAGAAATTGTAAATTGTGTTTTGAATCTGCCCAAATTATTCTGTTATCAGTATAAAGTTGTCATTTGCTACTATCTTCTAAAAATGTACAGTTGCCAGCTGCAGCTATTGCTTAGGAGAAATTGATAAAAAAACAATTAATAAAAACACTTGAGTTTTATTTCTATCCGGTTTTATTTGTCTTGATTTGTACTATGTTGATTCTTACCAATGGTTATTGTATACATGGAATACAATCTGGCAATATAGACCTGTCTTTGCATAGCATCGGCCCAACTGACTTAAATAAGAAAAGCTATGAAGAAATCGTGGTTTTAATATGACGTGAATCATTTAATGTAATAGGAGGAAAACTATATAATTACTAGAAATTGATGTAACCGAATCCGGACATTCACTTTGTGTAATTATATCTGATAGTAACTGCCAAATTATCGTTTTCTTATCAGCCATCCAATGAAATAAAGGTAAAGATAAGATGGAGTATCCCACTTCCTATTGTGGTGTAGATGTTCGATTTCAAAATAAAGGGACGTAAATTAAATGTATACGACCACAAATAAAATCAACACGCTGAAGCCCGTTTATTACACAAGATAACAAAGATCAAATAACGCATATTTATGCGTGCATACCGGCGGGTTGAAAAACTTGCTGTTTTTAATGAGCAACCGTTTAACTCGGAAAGGTTTTGGTCGCTGATGGCATTTTTTGTCTCTAAATTCTAAAAAAAAACGAATCGGGTGAATGGACGCCCGGGGGCTAGAGCCGTCATTGAACATTATATATGTGCAACGGTGTCTCAGATTACCCGTTTAGATCTGAAACACATTACAATGCTTAATTGATCAGGCGCAAGTAAATGGCTCGATGCTTACTAAAGAAACCCTATCCACAATAAGCAAAATGTACGTCAAATCGGCCAAGTAAATTTAAAGGACGGTGGGCATCGCGCTACGCATGCGCGAGGTATGGGTCTCAAATAAACAACGACAGCGACTTTGATTGTTGCGTAGATCAACGAGTGCAAATTGAGAGGGTACCAAGCTTTAATTAGGTATTTTTTTAGTTATTTCAAGGTATCGGGGAATCGCTGGCGGTAATTAGTGAAAATCACTCCCAGGTAAAAACTTGTACTCGTGATTTCATTAGAAAAGCATTGGATTATGGGAAAAACAATGTTTATTAACACACATGCGCAGCGCGACGATCATCGCTCTTTAAACCTACCGTATTCCGTTGAGGTTTTCCATTGTCTCATTACAAAACTGTGTAATATTTTTCTCATTTCGTTTGGCTACATTGAATTAATGGTGTGTGGTTTGTTTTCAAAACTGACGTACAAGTTTGGTCGGCACCTAAAAACTACTATACATGACTTCTGTACTGAATGATCCTGCAATAGACGTGGTTACATCCGGGTCGTCTTTTTATCATAGACTCGTTCGACGGATATGTATATCGTGACGAGTTTTAGTAAGAAGCGAATATTGATGTCTAAATAGAAATATTTTCTAAATATGTCGTAGTTGTTTGATATGTCTTGGAATCACAAATGATCCAGGTTTGTCCACGTGATTATGTGAGCCGAAACAATACATGCACATGTACACAGATTGACGTCATCAAATCTGCTCTGCCCCATGGTTACCTCCATGGTTACATCAAGAGATCTTGTGTGACCTGACAAACCTGGCGAAACTCATAGTCGAGCTTACATAAACTGTAAAACCATTCTGAGATCTCTGCACCCCGACTTCAAGAGATTTCAAAATTTTAGTCGCATCTCGTACGGTATCCGAGAAAATCGCGTATTCGTGCCTTTGCTGGCAGACATTCGACAAATGAAAAATTCTGTGTTCTCGTCGGTTATCACATTGGTGAATTTTTGATTAAAATTAGTTTGTCTGTTTTTCTACCAGATAATGTAACCAGACCGTCACGTGACGAACTACGATGGGGGATTCGACGGACAAGTACCAGTCCAGTCTGGTATTTCGAAACTGTATAAACGACTTGTCGATATAAAGCACATCATAAAAATATTGGTTTTTGCACCATGGCGTCAGAAGTAATTAAAGGGGCACCTTCCAGTTAAGATTAATTTCACAACAAATTTACTTTCTGGATTAAAATAACAATGGATAACAAAAGATAGATTAACATTGTAAACAACATAAACAATAGTGTCCCATGATTCTTTGGTGCAATCCATGGGATTGAGCGGTTCCCCTTTAAGGTTTGCAACATCCACTGTTTAGATTCTTCTAAACTGTTCAATGATATTTTTTTTCCGACAAATCGTGACCCAGTAGTTTATCAGACACTTGCAATCAACAGGTATGTATTCTCTGATCGACACTTGATGTCTAGGGCAAATTCGGTCAGCTGTTTCCGTATAATTTGAGATTATTTCAGTTTTACCGATGACGTGGTTCGATTGCTGGTATACATTATGACATATCGTCACACTGTGGTTTACCCTTGTCGTCTGGAAGATGTTGCAATAGTCTCTAACAATGAAAATGCTATTGAACAAATGCATACATCAGAAATGTCTACTCTGTATTTCTATCATTAATTTTATTTCGTTTATAATTCTTCAAAGGTGAGACTAAATGCAAGTGGTGGGGCTAATAATGACAATTACCTAATCAACGTGCTTTGTTGTGTGCAGTCAGTCATGCTCGTTGGTCGAATAACTACTATAGTAAACAATTAAAGATCCGAGGAAAATTTTAAAATTCAAGTGAGTGTAGCCAATGAATGGTGTACCTTAACAATGTATTTTTTATGACAAAATACATTTTGCAGTTCTAGAAGTTGTATTGACTAATTTGAACTAAAGAGGGGGAAAATAAAAAAAATTATAACCAGCCCTTCGACGAGAGGACTCCCTTTCATATTTGTTTGACTTGTTTGCCCGCTCTCCACATCATTTCAGGAAAGGGGTGTAACTAGATGTGAAATTGAATGAAGAAACATATTTTAGGCGAGTGTCTGGTAATCCGAAGTTTCGTAGAAAATCAACTCGTATAAATGACACAGCAACGTTTTATTGAGCTTCTCCTAAATTTGATGCC